GTGTGTGGTGTGTGTGTGTGTGGTGTGTGTGGTGTGTGTGTGTGGTGTGTGTGTGTGTGTGTGTGTGTGGTGTGTGTGTGTGTGGTGTGTGTGTGTGTGGTGTGTGTGGTGTGTGTGGTGTGTGTGGTGTGTGTGTGGTGTGTGTGTGTGTGGTGTGTGTGGTGTGTGTGTGTGTGTGGTGTGTGTGTGGTGTGTGTGTGGTGTGGTGTGTGTGGTGTGTGTGGTGTGTGAAGGTTGTCCCACTGAGGCTGAGCACTCTAGTCACTTTTCCTCTGCACTTTGACAAGCTGTAAGTCTCTGCAGAATGAAGAAGCTTCTGTGAGGAGTGAGAGATGCACTAGTCTTTGGGCATACAGATAGGTATCTAGAAGGCAGGGAGGCACTATATCCCTTTAGCAAACAGATGGTCATCTGTGACCTCCAGCTGATGGATTCCGGGCCAGGTTTACAGTACCAAGTCTGAGTTTCCTCCTGCAGAACAGACCTTAATTCCAGTTAGAATGCTGCTGGTTACCCCGATATCATTCATGCCATTTTTGCACCAGTGGGCATATTTTTCCAAGATGGCCATTACTGGAGCTCATAGGGTTCACATCTGAGTAAGATTCGTAATGGCTTTTGTCCCCCGCAGCCTGCATAGCACTTCCTGGCACTATGAAAATCTAGTCGTCAGTGAGCATGCTCCAGATCAGTACCAGCTTGATTTCTCCATGTTCTGTGGTCAAAGTGTGTGGTGTCTTGGGTAACCAAGAGCAATGACAATGGCCTGTATTATTTTGGGGGTCTCTGGGACCCCCTGGCCAATAAAGTGACACGGGATATTCCATACGTATCATTGCTTTTTATTTGATCACCTCTAGCTTCTGGGAGGAGCATGGTACCTCAGTGTAGGGAGATTCCAATTACACATTCCTTTAAAAACATGTGTCTTTAGAAAGCTTATAAACTAGGTTTCTGTGTGGTTTTCCCAAACAGCCCTTAATGTTAGTTATCCCTTTTCTTCCTGCTCCTCCTGTCTAATCTCCTTACTTGAACTTGCCTTTTGAGTTCCCTCTTTCCAGCCTTTCGGCCAGTTGACTTATGGTGGGTGCTGAGTTGGCAGTGTGAGTCCAGGCTCCCAGGTGACAGCTGTGGTGATCTCCTGAGCCAGGGCCCACGGGCTTCAGAGGCTTTGCTTCTCTGTTTCATCTCACGGAGGGAGGAGAGGGCAGCTGATGGCAGTCACACTGGTGTGTGGCTTTCAGAGAGCTGATCTCTCCAGGATCGGAGTGTCAATGAACTCTTTCACTTTATCTTCCTCTCGCCCCAAGCTCTGAGTTTGCAGCAAGCCAAGGTATTTGCCAGAAGGCAGTGCCTAGAAAGAACCGTACTGATTTCTACTTATATTTCTCATAATTAATGGCTCACTTAAGTGCCTCAGACCTATAGACAACTGGGGTCAGCTGCTACATGGGAATAACATTGGAGGGAAAGAGGGCTGCTGTCCTGGAGGCAGCCTGAGCATCAGAACTACGGTACCACTTCTCCTTGCTCCGCCCCCCTCCTGACCCCCCTCCAGTAACAGCTAAAATGCATACAGGTACATTGATTGAATACCAGTTTGGCTATTTCCATCTGCAGGAGCTTGGGGCAATTTACTTAAACTTTTGAGTCCCGGTTGCCCATGAAATGGGAAAACAAAGATGGTCATTGTGAAAACAAAAGTTGTACCCAGGTCATGTCTGTCTCCAGCTCTTTGCAGGCAAGGGCGCACCTGAGAACCCCTCATCTCTGAGTCCAGGTAAGGTGACCTTGATGAGGAAGATAAAAGATAACCCCATTCTTGAGCACTGCATAGGTGTCAGTGTGCCTAAATGCTTTTGATGCATGGAGTCATCTACCTTAGACCTTATTAACTCCATTTTGCAAGTGAGGAGAAACTGTCCCCCACCAAGTTAGGTTGCCTGTTTGGAGGTTCCTTCTCTTGTGATAGGAGACACGAGACTTATGACTTGATATGTCTGATTACTAGGCGCTGCTGTGCTCATGGGAGGTGTTGGGATAGAGGCTGGGGGTGGGGGTGGGGGATGAGGGTGGGTGTTGGCATTCTGGGAGGAGCCTGATCCTTTATGACAATGGTTGCAGTTCCCTTTCCCAGTTTTAGAAATAACTGTCCAGCAGTAGAAAAATCTCATTCCTGGAAGATACAGCAGGGGATAAAGTTGAGACTCTACCTTGCAGGATATCAAAGCAGATGCAGAGACTCATAACCAAACTTTGGGCAGAGTGCAGGGAATCTTATGAAAGAAGAGGGAGATAGAAATACCTGGAGGGGACAGGAGCTACACAAGGAGAGCAACAGAACCAAAAAATCTGGACACAGGGGTGTTTTCTGAGACTGATACTCCAACCAAGGACCATTCATGGAGATAACCTAGAACCCCTGCACTGATGTAGCCCATGGCAGCTCAATGTCCAAGTGAGTGCCCTAGTAAGGGGAACAGGGATTGTCTCTGACATGAACTGATTGGCCTGCTCTTTGATCACCTCCCCCTGAGGGGGGAGCAGCCTTACCAGTCCACAGTGGAAGACAATGCAGCCAGTCCTGATGAGACCTGATAGGCTAGGATAAGATGGAAGGGGAGGAAGACCTCCCCTATCAGTGGACTGGGGGAGGGGCATGGGTAGAGAAGAGGAAGAGAGGGTAGGATTGGGAGGGGAGGATTGAGGGAGCTACAGGTGGGATACAAAGTGAATAAACTGTAATTAATAAAAAGAATATATATATATATAAAGTTGAGGCTAAAGGCAGCCTGCCAGGCTTTTGATGTTAGGTGTCCAGGGCTTGTCTCCAGTGAATAGAGAAGAGACTAAGAACCAGGAACTCAGGAGCCTGGCTAGAGGCAGAATTGATGCTAGGATTTTTTTTTTTTTTTTTTTTTTTAAGAGAACAGCTAGTGAAAGTCTGCCAATTTGACTGAAGAGAAAACAGGTTGAGAGAGAGGAGTGATGTGCTTAAGGCCCTTTGGCAGAGGAGCCTACTCTAGAAGTCAGGCTCGGGATTTCAGGGACCTCAGCCGTGAATCCTTGCATTTTGCTGCTGTGCATCCAACCTCCATCCCCATGCCTTTGAGTTCTGCAAAGAGCTCTGGGCAAGGTGAGCTAGGGACCTAGCAGGTGGGCTACCCCGTGCTGCTTCTCTGGACGTCCTTTCTAGAAATCCTCCCTCTGCAGGGTGCTCTGCCCTGGCTGCAGAGCCAGCGCGGCTGTCGGCTCACTGTGTCAGGCTTTCTCTCTCAGCTGTTTTGTTTGTTTGTTTGTTTGTTTTCCGGAGCCCGGGCTTGTGGCTCCGACACCTGTCTGAATGTCCAGGGTCTGACCAGCTCCTTGGAAGAGAGGTTCTCTGGCACCTCAGTACGCTTTTGATTCTGTCCCCGGAGCGCCGGCATCACAGGGGAGTGCCGCCACAACCGAACATCCCTTACACTTTGAAGGGGTTTCCAAGCGCACTACAAATTGCCCCTTGCTATCTGAGGGGGCGTGGCTCCAGGATCCTGCTAATACTGAAATTCAAGTGTTTTACATACAATGTGTAATCATATCTACACGCATGAGTTTATCTACACGCACACGACCCCTTGCGAGTCCTCTCAAGCGCCTTAAATCACCTCTAGAACCCTCGGAACACCCCCTTATCCCGGGCTGCTTTGGTTGGTGTTCTCTGTACAGCGGGGGTCGCGCTGTTTCTGGGGACCGCCTGCTGTGGAGATGTGGCTGAGAGTGATGCTGGTGGCCGTCCCCTCCTCCTGAGACCCTCTCCAGGAGCTCCAGCCCCGCGCAGCCTTTCCTTCCCTGCCCCACGTGGGACTCCCTGGCGGGCCAGGCGTGGCCGCGCGCGCGGTGCCCACGGCGCGGGCGCAGAGGGCCGGCGTGCCCAGGCGCTCACCACCCCCCAGCAGGCCCCTCCCCGCTCCCCGGGTCGCCCTCACCTGCCCGCGGCCTCTCCCTCCCCGCAGCGCCGCCGGCTCCTCCGACCGCGCCGCTCGTCCGACGGCGCGGCCCGGCAGCCCCGCGCCCCCTCCCGCCGCGCGGCCCCGCCACCCGGGTCCCCTCCCCCGGGGCTGATCATTAACCCGGCGGCGGTATAAGGAGCGCGTGGCGGCCCCCGGGTGAGCCCGACGCGCTCGTCCGCCGCCGCCATGGACAGCAGCACCTGGAGCCCCGCGGTGACCGCCACCGCCGCCCCCATCCAGTCCTACGAGCGCATCCGCAACGCGGCCGACATCTCGGTCATCGTCGTCTACTTCGTGGTGGTGATGGCCGTCGGGCTGTGGGTACGTACAGGTCCGGGGACGCCAACCGACTGAACCGGCGCGCAGAGACCACCGAGGGCAGGACGGACTGTATCTGTGAAGGGGAGCGGGCATTTCCCGGACTGCTGGGGACTGCAGTGGGGGGAGGGGGAGGAGGGGGTTTGGGCACAGGAGGTCTGTGTGCAGGAAGGTGGAGGGTGCCCGGGGGAGCCTGTCGGGAAGGCCAGGGGAGCTGAGGGGGAAGGCAGAGGATCACAAAGACGAGGAGAGTCTGTAAGGGACAGGGAAGGGGCAGCAACCTGGGCAGCCGGGAGGGGCCCAGCCAGGTGGCTACCGTCCGTCCCATCTCTTAATTATCCAGTTTCCGATGGGAAAGGAACAGGTTAGGGACAGAGAGGCACAGCCTCTGCAGACCACAGGCGGCCTATGGCTGACCAATGCCCCTTCCTGGGGAAGGCTAACCTAGAGGCCTCGCCTGTACGGTGGGATTGCAGAGGATACCTGAGGTTAGAGATGAGGAAGGAATGGGTCAGCCGAGAGCGACTTGATCCCGGGGTAGAGGGAAGTACCCGTGTCTCCTCTGGGACTCCGAGGACACACCAAACCAGAGAAACTCGTTCTTCAAAGCCTGGAACTTGGAAAGTTCGTTTATGATGCTGGCACACCTAACAGCTAGGCCGAGTGTGAAAGCATTTCGGCCACCTCTAGAGGTGAACGGTGGAAGGTGCTGGCAGCAGGAGTTTGTGCTGGGCTCTTGAGTGAGGAGAGGATGGTGGGCGCGAACCTGCTAACGGACGTAGCTGTGTCAGGGGTGAAAGAGGCGTGGATTTTTATTTTTAAAAGGAATTGTAGGAACCACGTGTAGCAAAAAAAAAAAAAGGGTCCTCAAGTGTCAGTCATGTGTGGCCAGTGGGGCCGACTCTCCCTCAGAGGCAAGCGTCTGCAGCGCTGACCTTTAGAATTTGCTCTCGTGCGGCTGAACTAAATGATATAGAACCTACTGACCACAGCCTCAGCTTATCCAAGTATGAAATAGGCGTGTTTGTGTCTATCCTCATGACCCTCTCCCCCCTCCCCCCAGATATTGTGAGCTGAATCTGAAAGGTCGTTAGGATTCTAGAAATTTTTCCTTATGCCACTGACCCTACAAGGTGTGATCCATGCCCTGGCTGAGTTTTGTGTTTTCAAGTAAAATGGGCAGAAACAGTGAGCTAGCTGGGTAACACACCTTCCCACGAAAAGCCACACGGCAGGGAGGGCAGGAATGCTAATTATGATTTTACAGAAGAGGGACTTGAGGTCACAGGTGGCTGTGTATTGCCTAAGATTTTGCAATCCCTAGACTGTTCCTGGAACCTAGATGTCTTGATCCACGCCTTGACACGGGGCCCTCAAGCCTAGTAGGCCCTCTGCCTTCCCGCTCCAATTCACGCTAGAGGTTGGAGCCAAGGTGTGAACCCATCATTGGCTAGCCACACCGGAAGGCCTCCTTTCCAGCCGCTCTCTGATCTGATCATCTCAGCACTCTCCTCCAGGCTCACTTCCGCCTTCCCAGTCCTGTAGGTGTTTGTATTTTTATGGTGTTTGCACTTTTGAAGTGTCTGTGAATCAGTGTCACTTGTTCTGTTACAATGCTATTTCATGAGCCTGTTAGGATTTGTCTATGTTCAGTCCTCTCCCATTAGCTGGTGCCTCTGGACCTTGCTCACTTAACACTGTGCTTTCCTCCCAGTTAACACTCTTCTCCCCCCCCCCCCCCCCCGAAATGTTAAGGTGGCTTGATTCAAGAATGGGCATTCTGGCTTCTGAGTGATTTCTGGGCTGCACAGGGACTCATCCAATGGAGCCCACTGTGCTCCTGAGCTTAGAAAATCACCCACAGCGAATGTTTCTCCATCTCCTGCCCCATCCATTCCAACATCACTCAGTTCAGGTCTATATTCTTTCAACTTGGCTTCTTCATCGATCATCTTTGAGCTTTGGCCTATTGTTTGATATTTATTTCTCTTTTCTTTCACTATTTTGCATTGCTTCCTCAGCGGTTTTTATATCTGTTTAAGTTGTATCACTGACCTTATTCTTGCTGGGATATGCTACCAACCTAATCTAGAGTTATTAAAAACTATGGCCCAATCGCCAAAACTTGACCTGCAGCCCATCTTTGTATGGCTCATAAACCAAGGATAGTTTTTTATACTTTCAGAAGGTTATAAACATAATTGGATAGGCAAAATAAAATTATGTGGCAGAGAACCCACAAAATCCAAAGTACCTACTCTTATACCCTTTTTCTTCTTTCTTCAAAGTTATTATTATTAGCTCATTATTTCATGCATATGGGTTTGTTGCCTGCATGTACGTCTGTTCTACACATGTACAGCATCCTAAGGGTCAGATCACCCAGACTGGAGTTACAGACAGTTGTGAGCTGCCACATGGGTGCTGGCAATTGAACCTGGGTCCTCTGGAAGAGTAGCCAGGGTTTTAAACTTCTGAACCATCTCCCCAGCCCCAAAGCCCATTTTATTTTAGCCTAATCAGAAGGTTGCTTGTCATTAAGACCCTTAGTTATTTGACCCAATAAGATCCTTGCTTGCTGAGTTGGGATGGCCTCTCAGTTAATAGCATCACTGAAAGCTTGAGTTGGAATGGCCTCTGGGGGAGCCCAACCTTTCCGTTTTGTTAAGGAGGGTGACCAGAAAGTCAGCTAGATAAACTGACACCAAAGCAGGAATGATTAGAACTCGGAGCTCATGATGCAAAGCCAATGCTATTCATCCTTTCTCCTCTTCAAGATACTGCCCTTCTGGAAAACCCTCTCCATTGTCCCTTCTCTGTCACTGAAGTGACAGTGTTGAGACATCCTCAGTTCCTTCTTTCCTCATATATTTTCATGAATATGGGCCCAAGGTTTACTGACTTCAGTCCTCTCCATTCTGTACTCATATGTCTCTTCATTGAATTATTTGACAAAATAATTTTCACTAGTTGCCAACAACTTTAACTTGAAAATTCCAACAGAAAGTCTCCCCTGTGGTCCAGTTTCCATCTCTGGACAGCTCTGTAAGAGAAGAAATTCTTCCTGGTACCAGTTCAAACCTCATACTCTCAGTTTTTTACATTTCATCCCTGACTGTGACCTATGTAGGTTGCATTGAACATGATTGCTCCATTTTACATATCGGAGAACAGTATGCCACACCTGAATCTTACGGCTAAGGGCCCAACACCCAAGTTCCTTCCTTACCTCCCTCCCTCCCTCCCTCCCTTCCTTCCTTCCTTCCTTCCTTCCTTCCTTCCATCCTTCCTTCCCTTTTTTTCTGGGGGCAAGGGTAAGGTCTCTCTATACAGCCCTGGCTGTCCTGGAACTCACTTTGTAGATCAGGCTGGCCTTAAACTCTCTGAGATAGCCTGCCTCTGTTCTTATGCACATCCTACTTTATGGCACGATGGCTTAGGTAATTAATGCGGAGCTCACGACAAGCATCTCAGGTTTCTAATTAATGTGGAGCTCAAGACGAGCATCTCAGGTTGCGTGGTGATTTGGCGAAGCACTGTCTAACATTCAGTTTCCATTAAGGTCCAATAGCAAGCCAAGAGCTGTCCCTCAAAGGGAGAATAGTTGTCTGCAGATAACCATAATGCCTTTCTTCAAAAGCCCAGGGCTCTTCTCTGTGAGTCATTCAGAGGGGTCTACCAAAGGCTACGAACAGCATCGCCGCCTGCCACTGACACCTTAAGTACCATCGGGTCAGCTGGATCATATGGTTCAGACGTGGAGTGTCCTAAACAGCAGCTTGGACCTGTTGAAGAGCCTTTTCCTTGTTCTAGGCCCCTTTCAAAGCTGGCTAGTGCTCTATGGATTTATGAACTGGAGTAACACATCCAAGTGAGGAATGTGCTGTCTCCAGAATCCAAACAGGCTCACCTGCATTGTGCTCCCATCTTGGTGGTGGGTGGGGCCGGTGCGATAACCTAACCTTTCACTTTAGAAAAGGACTATCCTTACATGCCCCACACCACTGGACTCCTGGACATTTTGCTGAGGTAGAGGCCTCTTGAAGTTTGGTTGGGTATTCTCCATCCTCTGATATGCATATATATTACCAACAAGGCCGAAGTGGTTGCCACTTCCTGCTCATTGGGTCCATTCAGCATAACGTCACTAATACAGAGGACCAGTGTAATAGTTTGTGAATAAGATGGATGAGCAACAGCTCTCTGGTCTGCGGCGTGACGTAACAGTGCTGAGAGCTGTGTGGATGGTGGGAAGCCACCTCAAGAGGCTTCAGAGAGTAACAATAGTAGCAACTGGCTGGAGACCAGTCTCGTGAGATTTTGGTAAAGAAGGTAGCTGTTTTCTGCCCTAGTCCTAAAAATCTGCCTGAGGCTAAATTGGAAGACAATAGCTTGATTCTGCTGGCAGAGGAGATTTCAAGACAGCCTAATATTGACTGACCTGTTGAATGCCTATTAGTAACCATTCTCGTGCAGGTCTACACTGAGCAAGCAGAGCAAAAAGAAATTTAAAAAAAAAAAAGTACGTTTAAAGTGAAAATGAGCACCAGGAAATTTAATGTTGGCGTTTTGGCTGGTGCATAAAGAGGTACGACGAGGCCTGATTCTAATAAGATGCAATAAGAAAATAAAACAAACAAATTGGAATAGGACGAACCAACCAACCAACCAAACAAAAAGAGCCAAAGAAAAAACACAAGAAACACATAGAGATTAAGAGATACATATATTTGCACACACAGGAATCCCATAAAAACACTAAAAAGAAAGACACCATATATAATCAAAGGACCTGTAAAGTAGGGGAAAAAATGTCCTGACTTAACCTTATGAGACAAAGAACCTCCACAGATGCTGTTGAGCTCATTTTCTAAAGAGTGGTTTGTTTCCCCAGTGAGACTCGCTTGGAGAAAACTGATTTTTCATTTCTATCGTCTATCAGTTGGAAATAGCTTCTGCCTTAGGGATAGGGCCTTGTGTCCACCTTTGCTTTCAGCTCTAGG